TTTTTCTGATTATGATGCTATAATCAAATAAGTGTAATAATTCTCATAATCACTGATTGCATCACATCAATTAGAATGGCTTATATCAAAAGGCCAGAAACATCAAAAGCTGTTAGGGATATAAAAATAAGGAACCATTATTCACTGTTGATTGGAATGTAGACGAGTTTAGTGTCTATAGCAAACAGTATGAAATGCAAATATTATATCAATATAGAAAACAACAAGCAAATTTCCTGCTTTAGGTAATTTAGGAAGTTTTATCAAAACTCATATTCTTTATATTCTAGCAAGAAATGTGTGAATAAGATATATTCAAAAATAAAAATAAAGAATTTGTTTCTTTAAAGAAAAAAAGAGAAAGTACTGTGATTAAGTTACCACCCAGTTAAAAATCTATGACAGCTGTACCATCCTGAAAAATTGATGATCTTTTTGATGTCTCAAATGCAGCAACACAGATAAAACAGTAGTAGCACACCAAATGGGAGAAGACAACCAATCTCGATAAACAAAACTTAAACACAAAGGCTTAACCTGTAACAACAACTTAATAATCTCTCATATGAGGGCTTAATATCTGCAGTAGGAGATACAATTTATGGGTCCAGAGTTGGAAGCCTGCCTTCTCTGCTGAACCCATAAAATTCTCTGGACCCATAAAGTTCAGAAGGCAGCTGGGAGAGAGAAGTGACCGCCAGATAACAACAGTTAGAAATGATCACTCTGAATTAGATCTGTGTGCTGGGTGTTCAAACACTAAATGTAATCAAATATTGTGAATTATTATTTATAGAAATAAAACAAAATTTTATAAAAAGATCTGTGTGCTGAAAGCAGCTAAAGGAACAAACATGATGATGTCTCAGTACCTGTACATCAAACCATAATGTTCAAAAGAAGAAGGGGCTTCATAGGGGGTGAGAAGAAAAGTGTCTGCCATAGAGGTAACATGGGGTGGGGGGTTGAGAGTGGGGATGGCGGGAGAGAAACTGGGGACATTGGTGGTGGTAAATGTACACTGATGGAGGGATGAGTATCAGAACATTGTATGACTAAAACCCAATCATGAATATCTTTGTAATGGTGTGTCTCATGATGATTTAAAATTTTTTAAAAAGAAATAAAGCATTGTAATTGTGTGTGATAAAAATAGCAAATATTCTTACTGTATTGGGTATTTTACAAGCTACATTCTTTGGTACATATTGCTGAATGGCAGATCTGGGTTCACAGAGCTTTAAAACTCAATAAAAATAATATAAAATATATAGGATGGGAAGGGACAAAAATTCAGAGGGCATGCCGCCTGATTCTATTTGCAAGGGCATTTTTTAAATTTTGGTAAATTATAATTTTTAATTGAAAGACAAATATACAACTTGGAAGGGATTTGAGGCAGATCATGCCATGAGCAGAATCTTTAAGTGGCTAAAACAAAGTTTTAAAAATAATTAACAATCAAATGTTTCTGGTGGTTCCATTGTATTTGTAATTTTATTAAATTTTAGATCTGATTCTATTTCCAAGTACTTAATACACTTGAATAAGTTCTGTTGTATTGGTACTTCGATTTAAATTTTAGATATCTGAGCTTCAATTCCTGTTGTTCAAAGTGTAACTTGGATGATGAGCAGAACATAACTTGGATGTCTGGAGTAAAACGAAATGTGTGGGAATATTGTAAGTTGAAAGAAAGTTTCTAAGTATGTGTCTGTATATGTAGGAATATATTTTCCGTTTTAGCTTTAAAAACACACTTACACTGTAGAATTCATGTCTTTAAAAAAGCAGATTCACAGACACACACTTAGAGGTACAATCCGATTTGTGTTTAATGCACTCCAGGCAGAAATCTCCATATTGGAAGTGAAAAGAATGAAAACTTAAATGACTAAATGCAGGGATTTGAAAATAATTCAGACAACCACCATAACACCCTAAATTCAATGTGCATGGCTTAACCTTATCTAAATATATGTCTTAAAAATGAGGAACACGGGGCTGGAGTGATAACACAGCAGGTAGGGCGTTTACCTTGCATGCAGCCTAACTCAGTTTGATTCCCAGCATCCCATATGCTCCCCTGGATAAGTCCTGAGTGCAGAGCCAAGAGTAAACCCTGTGCATCGCCAGGTGTGACCTAAAAAGAAGAGAGAGAGAGAGAGAGAGAGAGAGAGAGAGAGAGAGAGAGAGAGAGAGACATGTGACCGACCATAAGGCATGTGATGCAGTTCTAAGCTTCTGAATAAGGATGAAATTCCTAAATGTTTTTGCAAAGATGAAGCAAGAAATTAAGTGCCTGATAATGTATATGAAAAAAACATGGTTCTCCACCTGATTAGACAGTGGATCAATTGGATGTAAATTGTTGACTTTAGAAGCAACTCAAATGAATGCTTAGAAGATGCAAGGAAAATGTGAACTCAGGAGCTATAGCCCAGCAAGTAGGGCATTTGCGTTGCATGCGACCTCCCTGGGCCTGATCCCCAGCATTACATATGGTCCCCCAAGCACCACCAGGAGTAATTCCTGGGTGTAGAGCCAGAAGTAACCCCTGAACGTCACTGGGTGTGACCAAAAACCAAAAAAAATAAGTGAACTCATGGGTGTGTCAATGGTACATTTTTTGGACAAAACTCAAACTCTTGCTGTGATAAGATCCAGGAAGGTTCAGAGTTCTGAAAAACTTTATGAGAAGTTCATAAAGCAGGAGTAAGGAATCATGATCTTAACTCCTGACCTGCTCTCTTGGGAACAGACTCAGTATGAAACTTTTTTTTGTTTAGAGCAATGAGCCACGGGGAGTTCTTAGTTAACTAGATGGCAATGTGCCTAAGGAACAGGACTATGGAGCTATAAATAGCTCCTCTGTTTGGTCCCTGGGTCTATTCATCCTGCACGGATCAGAACAGATGTGTCGCTTTCAAGTCCTGAGTCTTGCCAAAAGACCAATGCTTCCTTCCTTACTTCCTATTTTCTTGTCTCTGTCATCAACCAACCAGGCAGGAATTTGTTTTTCTTTTTCGAAGTTTTCCTCTCAGAAATCCCACCCAGGTGAGTCCAAATGTCAGCATACTGTGCCGAATGAGGTCTGGGGGAATGAGTGTAAAAAACATTGGCACCGGATCACCAGCGAACACGTCAAGCCTCGCTCAGGTAATAGATACCACTGTTTCATCCTGAACTAATGTTTCAAAAATGAAGCAGTTATTGAGTAATTCAGGGATCCATGTGGACTATGAAATGTCTTAAAGACTAAATATTAGAAAAGGCAATGGAGATTCAATAGTCTTTCGGTAAAAATGAAGTGGGGGCATAGTGATAGTATAGTGGGTAGGGCGTTTGCCTTGCACATGGTCCACCCGGGTTCAATCCCCGGCATCCTCAAGCACCGCCAGGACTAATTCTTGAGTGCAGAACCAGGAGTAACCCCTGAGCATCACCGGGTGTGACTCAAAAAGCAAAAAAAATAAAATGGAGTAGGAAGATAAAATAGAAGAGGAGGATGGGGTGGAAGAAGAAGAGGAGGGGGGACCCGCTTGAGCGGGTCCAGTAACATCTCCATTGTGAGACTTGTTGTCACTGTTTTTGACATACCAAATACACCATGGGTATCTTGTAAGGCTCTGCCGTGTGGTGACCTCTCTGAAAGGGGGAGTATAGTGAAGAGAAGGGAAGAAAAGAGTGGAGGGGAGAGGGAGAAGAGACACATGAAAATTAAGATCAGATTAGGGGACTGTGTTTCAGAGTTGGTGTTAAGGAATAATACAGCCAAATATCCAAACCACAGAGTCAACAACGCTGAAACCAAGAGACCCAAACTTTAACCACCAAATTTAGGATGGTGCTTATCAAGAGGGCAGGATATGGCGGGGAACATGGGAACACTGATGGGGGAAAGCTAACATAGGTGGTAGAATGAGTGCTGTGATATTGTATATGTAAAACTCAACTACGAATCACTTTGTAATCCCTGGTGATTTACTAACATTTTTTTAAATCACAATTTTTCCTTTGAATCTTCTTTCTTTTCATCATAGAAACTTTCATAATCTTTATATTTTTAACATTGATTGAATCACTCAATTACAATTATTCAGTTTCAGATATGCAATGTTTCAACAGCAATCCCTTCACTACTGTCCACTTCCTTCCTTTATGTCACCCATTATTTATTTATTTATTTATTTACTTATTTTGCTTCTTGGGTCACATCTAGCAATGCTCAGGGGTTACTCCTGACTCTGCACTCAGGGATTACTTCTGGAAATATTTGAGGGACCATATGGGTTGCCCGGGATAGAATCCAGGTGGGCTGCATGCAAGGCAAACACCCTACCCGCTGCTCTGGCCCTATGTCACACACTTTTATGGCCCCAGTTACCCTAACCTTACCTAACCTTTATGACAAGCATTTTTTTCCCTTCGTTCCACACCCCCCCCCCACGCTCACAATTTTAGGCAGTGTGGTTTGCAATGCAGTTACTAATAGGGTATTGTGCATACATTTTAACCTGTCAGCAACTAGTCCTGGTTCAGAGTTACCACATCTCTCTCTCATTGTCACAGTGGTTACTTCTCTGACTAAGCCAACTCCCCCATCTACACTCCCACAAACTCAAAAATCCATCAAGTTTGTTGGAAAAATCTATTTCTTTAAATTCTTTATCCATAATTAGTAGTAGACAACTTTTTTTTCTTTGCTTTCTAGATCCAAGACACTGATAGTTCTTGAAAGCGGCACCATACTCATTAACAGCCCCGAAGTTTAAGATAAAAATTGTAGAAGCAATGATCATTTGGGAAATGTTTGTGACTTGCACAGGTTTGGATAGATAGAAGTAGTCCCAAGAGGGACAAGCTCCTCAAACAAAATATTGAAATGAAATTCTGGATGATCAATTGGAAATATACCATTTGAACTAGACATGGATTACCTCCTTATGCAAAAGTTATGAAGTTTCTTTCTCATCATTTCTTATAGTCTCCTCAACAACATGGAACCTAGGAATTTCACAGGAATTATAGAATTTCTTCTTATAGGATTTTCACAAGAGTCAGATCCACAATCCCTCATATTTGGGCTCTTCCTGTCCATGTACCTGATCACCGTGCTGGGGAACCTGCTTATCATCTTGGCCGTCAGCTCCGACCCCCACCTCCACACGCCCATGTACTTCTTCCTGTCCAACCTGTCCCTTGCGGACATTTGCTTCACTTCCACCACCGTGCCCAAAATGCTGCAGAACATCCAGACACAGAGTAAATCCATCACCTATAATAGTTGTATCATCCAGATGTCTTTTTTCCTCCTGTTTGCTGGAGTGGACAATTTCCTCCTGACCGTGATGGCCTATGACCGTTATGTGGCCATCTATCACCCTCTGCACTACACAGTCATCATGAACCCGCAACTCTGTGCACTTCTGGTTCTTGGTTGCTGGGTCACGAGTGCTCTGCATTCTTTGTTAGAAACCTTGATGGTTCTGCAGCTGTCATTCTGCACAGATCTGGAAATCCCCCACTTCTTCTGTGACATCAAATATATGCTCCAGATTGCCTGTTCCGACACTTTTCTAAATACTGTGGTGATGTACATATTAACGGTGCTGCTGGGAGGTGTTCCCCTCTCCAGCATCCTTTACTCCTATTCAAAGATTGTTTCCTCCATCCAGAGAATCTCCTCTGCTCAGGGCAAGTATAAAGCCTTTTCCACCTGTGCGTCTCACCTCTCCGTGGTCTCCTTGTTTTACTGCTCAGCCATTGGCGTGTACCTGAGCTCTACTGGTGCCCACAGCTCACACTCCATTGCACGAGCCTCAGTGATGTACATGGTGGTCACCCCCATGCTGAACCCCTTCATCTACAGTTTGAGGAACAAAGACTTAAAGGGGGCACTGAGAAATGTATTTGGGACAAAAAACAAAAAAGGCCAGTTGTCCTGGGGCTGAAGAAATTTCTCACTTTCCCGGAGCAGTGCATGTATGTGAGAATTGATCAATATTTTCTGAACCCATGCTTTTTCTGCTATTTACATTCGTTCTTGTATTTAAATGATTTGTTTTCAAATTCTCTTTAGAATTTCTATGATTCCCTTTTTTAATTTTCTTTTTTGGGTCAAACCCAGTGATGCTCAGGGGTTACTCCTGGCTCTGCACTCAGGAATTACTCCTGGTAGTTCTTGGGGGACCATAGGGGATGCCGGAGATTAGAACTCAGGTTGGCCGAATGCAAGGCAAACGCCCTACCGCTGTGCTATCACTCTGGCCCTGATTCTCTTTTTATTGATGTGTTTTCCTCTTTTGTTGAAAGGAAAACTCATTATTATCCTTACAACTCATTATTATCTCAGTAATCTTAAACTTGGTTCTAAAATCATTGGAAACCTCCTTAATACACATGAATGACTTGGGTATAATTGACGCTAACTCTGTAGACAAAATCAAGCACATTTTAGTCCTTTTTCTTGCATGGCTGTAATGATTTCCTGAAAATCAAGGATGAAGGTTTCAAGCAACTCATTTACAGGTGCTTAAAAATAAAATATCTGAAAATAAAAATGAAGAAGAGAAGAAAAGAAGAAGAAGAAGAAGAAGAAGAAGAAGAAGAAGAAGAAGAAGAAGAAGAAGAAGAAGAAGAGCAGGATGTGGAGGAGGAGAAAGAGAAGGAGGAGGAGAAGAAGAAGCGGAAGGAGAAGTAGGAGGAGGAGGAGAGGAAGTGGAAGAAGAAGGAGAAGAAGAAGAAGAAGAAGAAGAAGAAGAAGAAGAAGAAGAAGAAGAAGAAGGAGAAGAAGAAGGGGGAGGAGAAGGAGGAGAAGGAGAAGGGGGAGGAGAAGGAGGAGAAGGAGAAGAAGAAGGTATATTACTCATTTTATCACATTGTTCTTATCACTCATTTCTGCAACTTAGAATTAATTTTCTTGATAATATAGATGACCTTTTCTCTTGTCTAACTGCCTCTACATTCACTGGATGCCTGACAGCAATTTGTAAAGTCCAGATGAGAATGAAAATACGTTAAAAATATAGACATGGTTACAAGATCTGAAAAATGCTCTGAAGTGCTCATTGTAATGTATCAGGCCTAAACCAAACCAAATGCATTTCTTGTAACCAATGAGAACACTGTGATAAGAAACATGTGACCTTGTCTTCTTGATGTAGGATGAAATTCTTTTTTGTTAAAGAACTGTTCATGAAGCAAGATATCCAGTGCAGATTTGATACCAAAGGAAGAACAATGTGCCAAAAACTGAGCATTGTGTCCCAACACAAATTAACATTTTGAAGGTGGAAGGAGGTGATCTTTTTCAAGGCTTATTTATGAGTCTCTGGAGCAAGGCCAGTAGATAAACTTACGCAGTGGCGGTGGTTCATGGGCGTGGCTGCCAGATTTTCTGGAAGTACCAGGAGGTGGGGGGATGTCGCCTACCCCAGGTTAGTCAATTTTTGGTTTTGGACAAAACTCAAACTCATGTTGGCTGAATTGCTGGGTGGTAAGATGATTCGAGGCCGAAAGAGTTCATGGAGTCATCAGCAGGACTCATCTGTATCCAAGCTTCCTCTCTTGCAATCAAAGAATTAGTGGGAAAGTTTCCATTAGTCCAGAGTCATGGTCCACAGGGAAATCTCGTGGTAGGGACCACAATATCTAGATGGCAGTGTGCCCAGTGGGAAGACACAGAGCGATAAATATCTCCTCTGCTCCATCCTTCAACTTGTTCAACCTGGGCTGCTCAGGACAAGCCTTGGTGTCCTGAATCTGACAGGGAACCAAGAACATCTGTCCTTCCTGCTGATTTTTTCACGCTTCAATATCTTACTCTTTAGAAACCAGGAAGGGATTTATGTGTCCTTCCAGGGGTCTTCTTCTCAGAAATCCCATCCAGGTGAGTCTGTGTGACCTGGAGACTGTGCAGGAGGAGGTCAGAGAGAATTAATGCAAGAACGTTTCTTCAAGTCCACCCACAAGCTGACCCAGCCCGGCCCACTCACCAGAGAGCACTGTTTCCTAGTCTTGGATAATTCTTTGATGTGTTTTTCATGATGAACAATATAGAAGTGAATATTCCATAAGAAATATGAGGTTCATGTGGATTGTGAAGTGAATTTCATATAAGACAATTACAGGAGAGTGGGTCAGAGTGATAATATACCAAGAAGGGCACTTGACTTGCATGGGGCCTTCCTGGGTTCGATGCCCAAAACCCCAAATAGTCCTCCAAAGTCACCAGGTGATATCCCTGACCTCAGAGCCAGGAGTAAGCCCTGAGCATCACTGGGAATGCCCTACACACACACATACAAAATACAACAACAAACAAAAAAGAAAGAAAAATACAGAAGAGAATGGAATATAAGTCCAAATGCTTTATAATCTGATAATGTTCCAGATCTCTGCAGAATAAAACTCATACTCATGTTGGTTGAATTGAGTGTGAATTATCTGTGTTTCTCTTTATGCTCTTACTCGTTTGTTTGTTTGTTTGTTTGTTTGTTTTGGTCTGTCTCTGGGTTGAGGAATCATTCCTGGTGGGGCTCAGGGGGCCAGCTGGGGTGCCAGGGATCGAACCCACATTGGTTACATGCAAGGCAAGTGCCCTCCCCACTGTACTATTGCTCAGGCCCCCTTCATGCATTTAAACAAGCAAGTTGGACTCTCACTCCCTATAGATGAAAAAGATGCAGATTTAGGAGTGTCTGAAAACAGTGGGTTGTAGGGACTGGAGTGATAGCACAGAGGTGGGGGTTTGCCTTTCACATGGCCAACCCAGGTTCAATTCCCAGCATCCCATAATGAGACACATATAGTATAGTATATTCTCATGAGAGAATTAAATTCAATAAAACTGTATACTGTGTGGAAAGGACTATGCCAGTGAGCTTGGATTCAACGCATTTTATTTCCCATGGGGTTTAATGTATTGAGTATTTCTTAGATGTGTACTTTTTGTCATTTTCTCCCTTGGATATTTAGCTGTTATATATTGAAATCACAGTGGTTTGAATCCTAAGTTGTTGTTAATTTTTTAGACAATACTAATCATGTAAAACTTCAAAAATGATAAGTAATGATACTATGTAATTATGTTACAGAATAATAATAAAACAACTGATAATCACAGTAATTTTTAGTATTTGGATGCTGTGGTATATTGTTCTCTTAATGATAGTCCCAAGTCAAGATAAAACAAAATTCTGAGTAAAGTAAGTCTAGTTTTAAAAAATATTTTAAAGGCACTATTAGGGTCCAGTATCCGAAAGACAACACAAAGCAATAAGCTCTGCAGTATATGATTATATCTGGCACAAGTCAAACAAGTATGGAGTTTAGAAAGCTGACCGGTTAGGGCTGTCCCCTCTAGTAGGAGAGCAACCTCTCCCCTTGTTTCCAGGGTCATTTTATGCTGTAAAAACGCAAGGGGTGGGGCTGGAGCGATAGTACAGCAGGTAGGGCATTTGCCTTACATGCAGCCAACCCGGTTCGATTCCCAGTATCCCATATGATCCCCCGAGCACCTCCAGGAGTAATTCCTGAGAGCAGAGTTAGGAATAGCCCCTGTGCATCGCTGGATGTGACCCAAAAAGCAAAAACAAACAACAACAACAAAAAAGGGGGAGGCTTGCCTGAACATCTTGAGCCACTCCCAATGACCTTTTCCTTGATTGATTCAGTGGTTATCTCCATTGACTTCATGCGGGGGTCAATCTGCCTTTTCAGCTAATCGCATAAATGGGTGGGAGCAGTTCTGTTCTTTTCAGCTGTTTCCCATAAGTGGGTGTTACCTGGGTCAAGTGACAGTTACTGGCAAAAGCTGTGCTTTTCTAAAATGGCTCCTGCTGATGCTAAGAGTAGACCTTCACAGGCACAAAAGTCCTCCCAGATGAAAAGAGAATAGTAGATAAGGACGACTTTGAGGCTCTGCTTTACAGATTCTGACTGAGGGTGTCTCACACAATGGCTGCAGCTCTGTAACTATCCAGCCCTTTCTCTTCTCTTCCAGCTAATTGTGTTTCATGCTCCTACCAATGAAAATAACAGCTGCTGTGTCTCGTGCTGGGGAGACAAGGTCTGCCGCAGACTTGCTTGGTCGAAGACCACCAGGCTGAGGGGAGACCAGGCAAAGGTGCACAGGAAAGCAGGAGATTCGGCACGTTGGACAGACAGACACCAACACAAGAGAGGTTGAGTGCTGCTGCGGTTTATTGCATCCAGAGTTCTTCTTTTTATACACTTACAGAAACAACGTGGCAAAGCACACATTACATCAGACCATGGGTCATGTTCCCAAGACAACAGGGGGCACGTACACGTTCTGTTTTAAGATTAGGGCAAAAGATCCACTTGTTCCAATAAAATATGTGAGTGAAATATTATGTTCCTTATAATTCCTTTATTGTCTACTTTTACTGACATTAAGTTTTATTTCCCTAAAAACGCCTACCCATAAACTAAAGAAAATATCAGGACTTTATAAGAGCTAATATTAACTCTACTTTACTAGCAGGCATGTAAAAATCAGAATTTTGCAAAAACTAATATTAACTCTACTAGCAAGCATCTTTCCAAGGCCAAAAGTTAAATCAAGATATTTAACAAGCAGGCTCCTATTCCCACAGAATGGCAAGTGAAGACTGCATGTCAGAGGCGCCTAGAAAACAGTGAAAAGGGGGCTGCCAGAGGTATAACAAGCAGGCTCCTATTCCCACAGAATGGCAAGTGAAGACTGCATGTCAGAGGCGCCTAGAAAACAGTGAAAGGGGGCTGCCGGAGGCATAAACCCGTAGGTCACGAACCTCCCATTCCCAGGGACCCAGGCCCTTGCCTGAGCCCCCTTGCAGCATGTTGCTACGTGGGCGACGCCGTTACCGGCATGGCAAAGGTCAAGATTTTGTGTTCAAGAATGGGAGTCGAACACCCAAGAATAGTTGAGATAAGTACCAGAAGGTCT